CAAAATTGCTCGTCTTTAACAGTACCAAAACAATACTGAAAAGTGACAGAACAAACAAATAAATAAATAGATTTAGACATCTATATGATCAACCACGTTTCCAATTATAATTGTAAAATGAGTAATAATAAAAAGAGTAAATTGTGTTTTTTCGTCCTTGTGATTTGTTATAATTTGCGATTTTCGTCCCTATGGTTTAGAAAGTGTGGTTTTCATCCCTATAGTTTGTAATTCATTGCTAATTTTGTCTTTATAATTTACAACTTATTGTTGTTTATGTCCTTATGGTTTGCAATTTTTTACTATTTTAGTCGTTTGTACATGATATAACATAACCATTACATAATATATATACTAAGGTACTTTTATAATAATGTATTATGTGTGAAGATGATTGCATCTACAAAAACCGGTGAAAATACACATTCAGGTCTCATCACCTTCACCACCTTTACAAAATATATCATAACATAAAATACATTCATCATTTCTCACGTCACTTATAAAAAGAATCTTACATGTTCTTCTCTCTCTCTCTCTCTCTCTCTATATATATATATATATGTGTGTGTGTGTGTGTGTGTAGGGTTGAGTTCAAGTGAGAAGGAGAGTTAAGTTGAGAAGCGTAAGAAGGGATCTTAATCCTTAGATGCATATTAGGATTAGATGCACCGGATCAATCCCCGTATCAAACACGATTCATGAGTGGGTTTGAGATTAAAGATGTTCAAGGGTTCAAATCACTTTTCACCTTAGCTCTCCTTATCACACAATTTTTTGTTTATACATATAAACATTTTTTTTGTGTAAAGAGGAGATGAGATTATGTGTTTTTTTTATTAACTTAGAATCCAACCCGCTATGCAAGTCGAATAATCCCAGGGAGACCACCTGCTTTGCAGATAGCCCGGAGTCACCGCATTTGAACTTCCATGGCCACAAGGGGATTTTTATTCTTCATTGGGTTTGAACTTGTGACCTCCAGATACTTTTGACCTTTGGAATCAAACTCAAACCAATCAGACACCACCTTTTGCTTTTGCTTTACTCTCCAATCTCCATAGAAGGCAACCATTTCCACAAGTAAAATGAAGAGAAGTTTGATGTTTTACACAACAAAGTATTGATCTTTCCATGTCCACTACATCTTTGGTTGCCTACAAATCGGGTGTGCCTTATGGCCCTACCCCCTAAACAACCATACAAAATGGACTAAACAAAGAAAATGTTGCCTCCTAAATAAGTGTAAATATTCATTTAAAACCATCATCTAAATGTCATTTTTTATATGTAAAGTGAATTATTAAAGAGGTGTTTCATTTAATAAATAACAAAAAAAATTGTTATTAATAAATATGATTTTTATCAATTTTCTTGAAAATTCTATATGTTTCTCATTAGCAGAACATTTCAAATTCTATATGTTTGGGCTACTTTCTACCTTCATAATCATTTGAAGACTTGTAATTCATTTTGAATTTTCTCAATTTAAAATCGTTCTTTTCATAATTGGTATTTCCAACTCTAGTTTGATATTGAAAACATATCCTGAGAACCACAAGGGTTTCAACATAGTGGTTGAGGTCATGTGGGATGTGGTGGAATATCCCAGTTGCCCAGAGTTTGATTCTAAACGTACACAAGAATTACCAGAACTGATTTATTACAGCCATAATTTGTCGGGATTAGTACAGACATAGCATGGGACGCCCTTCCAAAAACAAACTTACCCTGAGTTCAGTTGCATACAACATGATTTTGATTCTTAAATCCAATTGTGCAAATTAACCTAGGATTTCACTGCACAACACTAATCTTAGTTTATCCATCATCTTTCGTTCTTGTAAAGCTATCTCGACTCTTGTTCTCCATCTAATAACAATGCTTCTCGCAAAGTTATCCCACATGAATAATATATGAATACCTGGTAAGTATTATGATGATGAAAAACATAAAACGAATACGAAAGTATCAAACTTACGATACAAAAAAACACTTAAATTTACGTTTTATTTATTTATTTATTTATCGTTGTCGAGAAAGTAAACCTAAACGTTGATGATACTCCAAAAGGTACATATATATCTAAATTTAGACAAACATTAGTGACATTGAAGGGGACAAATGGAGAGGGTCTTTAATCAATAAGTTGCAACCATTGATAGTGGTGTCACACCCTACATGAGTCTTTGGCCCAATTTTAAGGACACATAGCTTCCTTTTTACTTAATTTATGAATCATATCATATATGATATTACTTTGAATAACATGCTTTATCTATTTCATAAAAGTCAATCTTTAGATGTTTGATAAGTTAATCACTAAACTATGTCCACTATTTTGGCCATCAATCCATATCAACACACAATACTTTAAAGATTTTTTTTTGTCAATTTCTATTACGTGATTTGTTAAATTACCGATTTACGTCTTCGCTAATAGTTTAGGTATTGATGATAAGATCCAAGCGAATAAAACTACGTTGAAACGAAAAGTCTCGATCTATCTTGGATCTTAGGGTCCGTTTGTTTTGCAAGAATGAAATGGATTTGGAGGGATTTGCATTTCAAATCCATTCCAATCCTGTGTTTAGTGTACCGGATTGTTCGGATTTAAAATCTTATAAATTATTTGAAATCCTTAAACATAAGATTTTAAGATCCCATAGGAGTGGTTGAGATTTCATGGGATTTCGTAGGATTTTTATATAATAATGTTTAAAAACATGTTTAAAACACTTGTTTTCTAATAAATCATTAACAAAAGGTAATTTAATATTTTTATAATTATTGGTAATTTGTTTTATAAATTATTTATAGAATATGGAATTCCATTCCATTCCATTCCAAATCCATCAAACCAAACATATCAAAAATTTCAAATCCTTCCAAGTCCAAATCTTTTTGTGAAATCCAAATCCCTCAAAACCATTCCATCAAAGTAAACGTCCCCTTAGAGTTGTCACCGCTTAAAAAAGATAAAATCTAGTCGAGAAAAAAGGGGTTTGAATGTGAAATTAAACCAAGCATATGTTGTTTCAGCCCACATTCATATAAACAAGATGGGTCAAGAATGGGCCTGTTTGTTTTGGCCCATTTTGATTTAAAAGACCAATAAGCCTAATAATTGGTATCCAATTAACTATTTCTATTTTATTTTTAAGCCCGTTTGTCTAGTATAATATTAGACCATTAATTTCAACCATATTTTTATGCACACACCCATTACAATCAAGTACCATATGTCTACCGTAAAAGTCCTAATCTTTGAATTGCAAGGAATCAACTTTCGGGATCTACGTTGGTCAGAACTAGGACGTTATCAAAGGGTTAGTCTTTGGTCTCTTAAGAGGTCAGAGGTTCAAACCTTACCAACGGTGAGGAGGGTGTATGAGTTTATTTATTGCATTTGTCGTATATAAATGCTATATACTTTAAAAAGAAAACTACGATGTTCCCAACATTCACACGGTTTATAAGACAACTCTTGTTACCAAGCATTATGAAGAAAATTATCGCAAACCCAAGAGAGGAGGGTGGTTGTATCTAACGTTCACATTCAAATTTTCATTTGTTATCTTGAGTTTTATATTGTTTCTTTAAGATAAAGGGGGAAAATATGTATTATTTTTTTTATGTTCGTTTGGTTTAATCTGTCAAATTCCATTTTGAGAGAATTGAATGTTATTAGGTTTGATCTAATGTTTGGTTGATAAGAAATTGAATTAAATCTGTCAAATGAATTGGAATATGTCTATTTGCTTTACAAAAGAATTGGAATGGAATAATGAAAAATGACAAATAATTTTCTTTGATTTTTATTGAGTATAAATAATAAGAATTAACATTTAATGTAAAAAAAAGATATGTAAGTTACAATTTATGAGTCATATATAAACATAAAACATATGTTACTAGCAAAAAAAATCGAAATACAACATGGTTACCAGGTGGTGGATGGTAGTAGCAGAAAAATCGAACAAGAACCAACATAAAAATCGATTTCAAAATCTAAACGAACTTGTTCATAAAAGCAAACATCGAACTAGAGCTTGTTCATAAAAGGTTCAAAACCAAACAGGAAAACCGAACTCCCAAAACCAGATAGAAAAATCTATTACATAAGCAAATCGTCTTCGAAGAAGGTAAGCGTGAAGGAGAATCATACAACCAAGATTTTTAACCCAAATCTGTCGAGAGTCCTCAACAAGATGGAGAATTCTTAGCGATATCAAAAGAATTGTACTCGAGTATGTGAAACTCGTGTTTTGAGTTTGTGAAAACGTGAATGAGGAAGGAACAAGTTTTAATCAAACTCTAGGGTTTAATAAGGGTAATTTTATCATTTTAAGAATACTGGGTGGAATTAAATTCAATTCCTTCCTCACTATAATGAAATTCACGAGATTCAATTTCATTCAATAGATAAACCAAATGCCAAAATGAAATTTCGTCACGAAATTGACTATTCAAATTCCATCAGATTCTATTGGAATCCTGCAAGCCAAATGCCCCCTAAAGCATAGCCACCGATAAGAAAAAGGTTGAATTTTAAGTGTCATAAGAATATATTGTATGATATGATAGTTTGCTTTTTTGTGTCACATTCCATTTAAGCAATCCCATGCCCAAAAGACTCATCGTGTTCTACTTATATTCCCATTTATGTATTTTACTATAAAAGGAAATCTTGTATTGTTAGCTTTTATTACAAGTATCGTAAATAGTTTAAATAATAGAGGCACTTTATAGACGGATAACATGTGCCAACCACGTGTCTCATGGGTTTGCTACGTGATCCATGGCCGTGGTTTGGTTTGTTATGTCATCCCCCTCATTTAATATGTGTCAGATGAAAGAACTTAGAAGGACCAAATTGTTAAAATTTAATAACAAAAGGGCTTAAAATGGCAATGTATGGATAATCTGGAGTAAAATGCAACTTTAGCCCTCCCCTCAAGCTTTCTCCTTTTTATACACACACACGCTTTGTTGGAGTTGAATAACAAAGCAAAAGCCATACTTCTATTATCCTCCAAAATCAATTCAGGCCCCAATCGGGTTTTTGCTCCACAATTCATCGAAAGGTTAGTTCTATTCAATTGTCTGGATGATCGATTCTTCAATTGCTTTTCATTGTGTTCTTTGTTTTTGTTGAGATGATTTTGAGAAAACGAAGGCGACCGATTTTTTTAGGTTTTTCAAGTTTGTGACCAGATGGGTCAATTTTTGATTTGAATTTACATGAACTTGTTACGAGTTAGAATCTTACTACTAGGGTTTATGTTGATTCTATATCTGATTGTGCTGATTAACCAGTGAAAAAATATCGATTATTATCGTTATTTGTGGATCATATTTAGGTGAGACTTTAATCCCCTTTGAGAAGAGTTGAATTTAAACCTTTGAGTATTGATTATATGTGGGTTAGACTTGATCATCAAGCAAATGAATTTATCCTTTCCATTTCCTGGTGCTCATTGTTTTACCCTTTTAAATCATTTAAACTGCAGTGAAATGGCCAAGAGCTCATTCAAGCAAGAGCATGATCTTGGTATGTATTCCATTTTTTTATATCAATATTTCTTCATATTTTTTGGCCTTGCCCCCTTTTCCAGTTCAGATTGGGAAGATCATGGGTTTGACCGTTTGAGTCAACGGAACAATTTCTTTGTGACAATGCAAGTTAAACCGTAAACGTTGTGTGCAAAGACTTTCTTGCCAGCCCTTGCGAAGCCTGAGGAGCCTTGGTGCACCTGGTCAACCCTTCTTTTTGTGCTTTGGTGGGTTGGGTTTATCTCATTGAGCTTGTAGTTTGTGAAAATACAAGGGAAACTTTTGTGCACAAAGACGTCCTCCCAGCCTCGCACAGCAGCGGACCCAAGACTTTTCTTTAGCGGTCCACTTTTAAGGTGGATCAAAGGTGTAACATCCCAGGGCCAACTGTACCAGTCTACCAGATATTGTCCACACAGCTGGACTCACTATTTTAAAACACGTTTGATAGAGGAGGTATCCAGTCCCTATAAGGCAACCCTCCCCAACCGATGTGGGATCTTACAAAAGGCCCGCAAAGTCGTGGGTTTGATCGAAGGGGCAAGCCGAGGCGGTTTGGTACGAGGGAAAATCAATGGTGTCTCTTTCGGGAATAAAATACATTTTTAAAATCGAATTAACCTCGACCTTTTCAGCAAAACACAGGACTATGTCTTAGGCCCGACATGTTTTTAGCCGTCTTCCACCTTTATGGGGAACTTTTTTTGGTTGAGTTCATAAAATTTTCCAACTTTAGTATTTGATTTGATTGTCCTCTGGGTCTTTTTTTCTAGGTTTTCAATTTCGTTTCCTTATGCTTCTGAAACTCTTAGTATTAAATAGGATGTTTTGCAAATCAAAATTAACTATGCATCTTATTTCACTTTCTTATGCATCTAGGATTTCAAATAACAACAATCAAATCGATAACTAAAAGTAAAAATACAAACAAACCAAGAGGAAAAACTCAAACGTGGAAACAATTTTGGGGAAAGTTAATGATCAAGAACATGATGTGAGGATGCACTTTAACAAAACGTGGAAACAAATTTGGAAAAGGAGATGAAATTAATACAGTATTCGATGTGTTATTGAAGTGATTTAGAGGCGTTTGTGAAAGTGACTTAGGATTGAAAGAGATAAAGAGTAAGAATAGAAGTTATTAGCTCTCTAATTGTGAACCAAAAAATTACATTTTTGCTACAAGTCAGAATCAAACCCATGCAGACTTAATCCGGCCAACTAAGACCATCCTGCCTGTTCTAGATTTCTGTTACAAACTTAGTTTTAAAATAGTTCAAGGCGTCTAAATTTTTTTCTTTTGCGATAATCAAGTGAGCGGGGGCATGAGACCCCCCTCAGTCCTTAGTAGGTCAGTCCTTGGCCTTGCATAACCAAGGAGCCATGGTGTATCAGGGCCGTCTTTTTTATATGTTGGTGGATTGAGTTAAATGTCATTGAGCTTGTGAGTTATGTGTTGGTTTGTTTCAGAGAAGAGGCGTGCCGAGGCTGCTAGAATTAGAGAGAAATACCCTGATAGAATTCCAGTGAGTATTGATCTTTCTCTAAAAAACTGATGACTACTTGTTGCATTTTAGCATGAATTCAACAATTTGATGCATTTGACATGCTGTAACAGCTTTTGTCACGAATTTGCTCCAACTTAAATGTTCTTTCTTGAAGCTCTTGGGAACTTGGGGCTTAAGTTTGTGGGTTTACTGTGGAGCTATTGAGCTACATGTTGAACATCACATGTCCTTCAAATAGGATCTTGCACTCGAGCTTTAAAGATATATTTTGACTTTTAAGGTCAAACTGTGCTTATAGCTTGTGGAACTCAAAACTGAGATTCATGTCTTCTTTCATTACATTCTGCTGTTACGATTCGCTTCAAGTTCCTTGAAATAGAGTGCATGTTTATGATATAGTCTTCAAGAAAACTTGCTGGTATGAGTTTCAATTGACCTTTGCTTTGGCTGTTTCAAGGTGATCGTAGAGAAGGCAGAAAGAAGTGATGTTCCCAATATTGATAAGAAAAAGTACGTATTATACCATCTTTTCGTCCCTTAGCCATTTTGTAGGCATACCCCATCTGTTTCACACTAGGTTTTCTTGTTTGATAAATGAGCGTCAAACTTAGTACTTGTCAATTTCCTAAGTAACACGAATGTGTTCAAGTTTTGTCTCCTTTCATATATTATTTTGTTACTCCTTTATTCTTCCAAAATTTGAATAAATTCGAATAGATTTCTAAGTTGTAGATAACAATTGCAAGGCATGCAATCCCTTGTTTTGAACTAATTTAAATTGTGTAAAATGGAACTTGTTGAGGTTTACACCCTTGGAACCAGGGGTTTTCATGGAAACAAGGGTGAGTAGAGGTCATGTCTTCATACATCCTATAGTTAACCCCCTAGACCCCACCTTCGAATGGGGTCATATACTGGGGCCCATTTGGTTCACTGCAGATTGCGGGTTGAATTTAGAAGTATATTGTAGTTGAGGTGAATGTTGGAAATCCTCAGGTACCTTGTTCCAGCTGACTTGACAGTAGGTCAATTCGTGTATGTGATTCGTAAAAGGATTAAGTTGAGTGCAGAGAAGGCAATATTTATATTCGTTGATAACGCGTTACCGCCAACAGGTAACATTTTAAAGGATTGTATTTGTCAGGTTCAGGGGAAAACTGCAAAAAAATGAAAAACCGAGGAACACCTTGGTAACCTTTTATTTGGACGATATGCACATGTGCATGCAAGTAAGTTATAAGCTATTTGTTCGGTATGCACGTGTGCATGCTGCTTCAATTACTTGTATGCACATATGCATACCTTCCAGAATTACCAAAATGTTTCTCAGTTTTTGGACTTTCTCCTGAACCTCCCTTTGTATTTGTATTTAATTAATTAAGCAAGCTATAATGTGTGTGGTGTTGTTGCTGTAGGTGCAATCATGTCTGCAATATACGAAGAAAAGAAAGACGAAGATGGTTTTCTTTACGTTACTTACAGTGGAGAGAACACATTCGGGAACCAGTAGCCTTGTTTGTACCGCCATTGTTGGCTTCTATTTGCCAATCATAACTACTTCTGCTTTCGTTAACAAGTTACCAAGAAGATGATACAAACGTTTGTATATAATCTACAAGACATCATTTTGTTAATAATCCATCAGCCTTTTGATTTTATGATTTCTGTCTCTGTTTTCGGTGATCAAACGAATACCTTTGTTTGTAGATTTCAAGACATCAGATGAAAAGAGGGATGAACCATTTGGTTTCTTGTAAAAAAAATGGTAGGAAAATGTAGAAATAAGAAAGAAGAAATGTATTTAGATTCTATTCCATATTTCTCCCGAATTGAATGCAGTAACAGAAACTATAAGGTAGGCTCAACAATCACGTGGACCGACCCCTTTCCAAATCCAAATATAATAGAGATCAGCAACCTGGACCATGTGCTTTTGTTGATAACCATGGTCAATATCAATATCAATACTCAATAATGTTGATCAAGAGGAATACACTCTTCAAAATATATGGAAATTTTCTTTTCCAATATTTTCAACTCAAGTAGGAACATTTATTTTGTAGAAGTATGCAAAAAAAACGACATATAAGTTCCTAACACAAAAAGGCCTAAAATGTCGCATGACTATGAAAATGTCAATTACTTGATGTTTGACAGTTGTTGAATGGTTTTGTATAGAATGATTAAGAGGCTCTCATGATATAGTGCAAAATAAAATATAATTATTTTGTAATTATTTACAATGGAATTATGACACTGAATGGTTAAGGGAGGCCCAAGATACAAAATCATTCAAATAGTTTTAAGAGACAAAACTTTTTTTTCTGCCAAACAAGATTCATCTCTTAACAATTTAGAAGTTGTCTCTTAATGAAACTATTAGTAGATAAACCAAATAACCCTTTTGAAAAATATGTTTTCGTCTAAAGATGATAACATAACAATTATTTCTTTCAATTTAAAGCAATTTTATGTTTTGGGTATTTTTTTTTTTACTTTAATTACACTATAATTTATGAAAATTCAAACTCGTTCATTGCAAGTGTAATAAAGTGTCGCCCCACCCCTTTGTCACTTCGCCATCACCTCTATCGTCTTCCTTATCAGATCCCCTTCCAGTGGTTTTCTTATCAATTTTTATTCAACAGTTTATTCTTATTTTTATGTTTTAATTAATATTGAAACAAATATTAAATAAAATAAAGTGTTCTTTTTTGAATTAACTTTATAGTTGAATAATGTTTTATTTTATAGTCTAAGTGACCTACCTAAGACTTATCTAATTAATGTTTTCCCATTATAAATTTGGACTTGGATGGAAAGAAAACGTCAAAACGAAACCCTTGTTTTCGAAATGGCTCACTGTTTTATCGCTACAAAATAGTTTTAAATTTTGAACTTTATTATGCATATTCAAGTCTTTTTTACTTTAAATTAAATATTCTCATATTTTAATACAAGTGTGTAGGGTAAATCGTAAACTAATGGATATATAGTACATATATTAATTAACCATACTTCTCCTTGAGAAACCATCAAGATTAGATTCTAGAGGTGTTGATTAATTTTCACACCTCATAATCAATAATTATATATTGTAATTGAATTAATTAATGATTTTCATTTAATTATTTGTGGTTCAGTTTTCTAAAGCATGAGCCTTCTAGACGTGAAGAACTTTGAAACATGAGATATATTTTGTGTTTTTTCATTTGTTTTGAAATATACAACAATTGCAATTTATCGATTTCAATGTAGGATGATTTTGATATTAATTAAGGTATCTAAATCATTTTACCATTTTCATATGTAAATAACATACGGTATATTATGATTTTTTATTGGAAAAGTTGATCCACAACATTTGATAAACTAGCTAGGGTTTAGCTTTATAAATTAAAACACATATAAAAATGGAAAGTTATTTGAATGTTATGATAAGCAATACTAAAAAGGTGATAAGATATCGTGAAAGATTTAGGGATGGTATGGGAGTAGGTGACAAATATTGGGATTCTTAAATTAGCGATTATACAATGAGCTACCCATGGTTTCCATTGCTTCAACATTAATGCTGCTTTGCTTTTTAGTCATCACTTATTTTTTCTTTTACAAACGTCTTTAACACATAGCTTTCAAACGTCCAACTTGTGGTTTTGAATTGAATTTTTGTCCATCAAAATTCAAAACTTAACGTTTGAAAAACTTGATGAATAAGTAATTGGTAATATGTAAAACAAAGCGTAATTGAAAAAACTCTTGAGACATTACTAAATAAGCTAATTTATCAACTCGTTTATAGTATCCAAACAAGTTTTTCTTAATAAGCTTAAGGAATAAGTTAACTTATAAGTTGGCTTAAAACGTCTCCGATGTACTTTTTAGAAGTGAAAGACCTTAGTTTTTTCAATATTGTGTCAGCTTTTTTATTAGGGTTTTCTATTAGATTTTTTTGTTCAATATCATAAATGCACAACATGTTTTTTAGAGGTTTGGTATTTAATCGGTCTTAACTTTATAAGGTTTTATGAATATGTAACCAATTTTATTTATTAATATAATTACATCTAACTATTATAAAATATGAAGTAAATACATGATTATAGTAATTATACTTTTTATATATTTTAATACATTTTTTTACACATTTCTTAATAACTCACTTTTTCATTTTACATAATTTTAAATTATTTTTAATTTTTATTGTATATACTTTTTTGTAATTTATATGGATTTTTTCAATTTGAAAAAAATTAAGTTAGGAGTAAAGACCTATCGGCCAAACATGTCGATATTGCCAAACATGCCGATACGCCATAACATAAGATTAAGGGGATGCTTGTTTAGATGTATTAAACAATAATCAATAAGAATAATAATAAAATAAATTTTTTGATTTTATATAATATAATGAATTTTTAGTCATTAAATTTTCATTTCAGATTAAACTCATTTTCTTTCACGGTCATATTTAGTTTTAAATTATTTTTTTTTTAATATTTGTTAAAATAAAATTTATTGGGATCGTGTAGAATGTGGGATCCAAAAAGGGTAGTCTTTTTTTGTTACTATAAATACCAACTCCTCGTCCCTTTCAAATCCATCTCAAATCCATTTCAAATAAGATTTTCTTTTACTACATAAAAAGAAAAAGAAATGCAGAAAAGTGCTTCATCTACAAATCTTGGTCCAGGTGGCTTAGACATAGCTCAATCCTTCTTCAGACCCATCCATGGTGCATCACCACCGCCACCCACCAGCCGCAACACCAAAATCTCCGTCATCGGGATAGGAAACGTCGGTATGGCCATTGCTCAGACCATCCTCACCCAAGACCTTGCCGACGAGCTCGCACTAGTCGACGTTAATGCCGACAAGCTCCGCGGTGAGATGCTCGACCTCCAGCATGCCGCTGCATTCCTCCCTCGCACCACCATTTCCGCCTCCGTTGACTACTCCAGCACCGTTGGTTCTGATCTTCTTATCGTAACTGCCGGTGCGCGCCAGATACCCGGAGAGTCTAGGCTAAATTTGGTGCAGAGGAACTTGGCTCTATTCTCCAAGATAATTCCTCCCTTGTCAGCCGGTTCGCCGGAGGCTATTCTGCTGATTGTGTCGAACCCGGTCGACGTGCTGACTTATGTTGCCTGGAAACTATCTGGGTTTCCGACGAATCGGGTTATTGGGTCAGGCACAAATTTGGATTCTTCCCGGTTCCGGTTTCTCATTGCCGATCATCTTGATGTCAATGCTCAAGATGTGCAGGTGAGTTTCACTTTGCTAACAGTCGTAAGCGAAGCATCTTATTTTTTATATTAAAACTTTAAAGCAATTTTAGATAAATAAATTTTAATTTTGTATTTACTTTTACATGATTGATTTATCCAAATCTTTTATTTATGCATTTTTTTATATTTCCATAAAACAATGAATAAATTGCAACTCAAATGATCAAAATTCTGATAAGTGATCACGATTTTATTTATTCATATTTCCATAAATATATTTTCTTCTAGAAAACCTTTTTGTTATCGATCAACAACTTTCATATTATTTACGTAGCATTTTGTTTTAAAACTAAAACCCTTCATTAATTATATTTGATCGGACAATTTTCGTTTATTTCTGTAGGCATATATCATGGGAGAGCATGGAGACACGTCGGTGGCACTATGGTCAAGCATAAGCGTAGGAGGGGTGCCGATACTTAGCTTCTTAGAGAGACAAGAAATTGCTTATGAAAAGCAAACACTTGAGAACATCCACAAAGAAGTTGTTCAAGGGGCATATGAAGTAATAGGTTTGAAGGGTTATACGTCATGGGCCATTGGTTATTCTGTCACTAACTTAGCTCGGACAATATTAAGGGATCAACACAGGGTCCACCCCGTTTCGGTGCTAGCCAAAGGGCTGTATGGCATTGATGGTGAAGTGTTTCTTAGCTTGCCAACTCAGTTAGGGAGGAGAGGGGTGCTGGGTGTGACGAATTTACATCTTACTGAAGAGGAGTCTCAACAACTCAAAGAATCTGCCTTGGCCATTATGGAGGTGCAAAGCCAGTTGGGCATTTGAACTTGATAAGATATTATTTTACATACGTACAACGTTTTATTTGATGTAATTGAAGTATAAAGCTTGCATACACCTATATTGTTTGTATTTTTTTTTTTTATGTTTTTCTACAATAAACTACAAAATAAATTATGTTTTGTAATAATCTTGTATGGTTTTATGTATTTGTAAACTATAACATTAGATAAATGAATGCATTTATGAGGTTCCTCAATGTTTACAAGTTGAAATATTAGAGTTTGAGGAACAAGATCTTGATTAGATCTTAAAGTGTGACTTTATTTGCAAGGAGTAAATAATGGGTTAAAATGGATGGGGCTTCAATTCTTCCCTCATTTGATCAACTAAAAATCTAGTTTTTGTGTGTGTGTGTGTGTGCGCGTGATAGTGAGAAGGGGGAAAGGTGTAGAGAAGGAGCCAATTGGTGGTTTGAAGAAGATCAAGAGACCTGAGTCTCTACATCATGTAAGAATATCTTCTGTCAATGTTTTCCTCTTTCATGTGTGAGCTTCAATTTGGGGTTTTAGGGTTTTTCATGTTTGGGATTGACTTATTGGTTGGAATGATAATTTCATGGTTGGAAACCATTTTATGTTGAGTTTACATCCATTTATGTGTTTTAATCAGTTTCATGATGGATTGGGGAAATGATCTAAGTTCTAGAGTTTTCGGTTTATCCGTGTATATGTTTGAGTTGTTGGATTGAAATCATTTCTTGGATTAGATCAGGTTGGATGTTGATTGGGAATGTTTTAATGTGAGTTTTAACCCCAAAAACGTTATAGATATGGTGTGGTATTAGTTTTGGGGTTTGACTTCTCGAACAAAATTGTGCAAGCAAACAAGGTATAAATGCGGGTTTCAAGCAGGTTGAGTCGCATGAAAGTCGCATTTGCGACTGTTTCAAAATTTTTAGTTTTGTTTCTTGAACAGTTTGAGGTTGTAGCTTGGATCTTTGTTTGAGGGGTTTATTAATGGTTTAATTGGAGGTCCATTGGGGGTTGTAACATGTCTTTTGGTAATCCAAATTTAGGTGTTCGGTTTGTGTGATTCTAGATTAAGAGTATATGTCTAGGCTTGGACTTCAGGTGAGTTCCTCTTGTGTCTTTTTAACAAACGTGTATGTAACGCCCCCAGAACCCCGTAGCAATGATATTGTCCGCTTTGACTAACCTGCCCGCTATACCACAAAGCAGTAGTCGCACGGTTTTGTTTCTGGCAGCCGCACAACGCAAGCCCCAAAACCGGTCATCGCATATCAGAGTCCGCAGCACGGAAGCGAATGATATTGTCCGCTTTGGCACGCTATACCACAATGCCTCACGGTTTTGTTTTCCCCGCTATACCACAAGGGAAACCGGTCATGCTAGGATGAGGTATCCACACCCTTATAAGGAGTGCTTAGTTCTCCTCACCAACCGATGTGGGACGGGTTGTTACACCCTCCCCCCGTTAGGACACAACGTCCTCGTTGGGCCACATCGATCCGGGTCTGGCTCTGATACCATTTGTAACGCCCCCAGAACCCCGTAGCAATGATATTGTCCGCTTTGACTAACCTGCCCGCTATACCACAAAGCAGTAGTCGCACGGTTTTGTTTCTGGCAGCCGCACAACGCAAGCCCCAAAACCGGTCATCGCATATCAGAGTCCGCAGCACGGAAGCGAATGATATTGTCCGCTTTGGCACGCTATACCACAATGCCTCACGGTTTTGTTTTCCCCGCTATACCACAAGGGAAACCGGTCATGCTAGGATGAGGTATCCACACCCTTATAAGGAGTGCTTAGTTCTCCTCACCAACCGATGTGGGACGGGTTGTTACAGTGTACTCGTCAATTATGGTCGAATTGTTATTTAATGCAATTCACATAGTGTGCATCATATACTTGAAAAATGATTACTTGCATAGTGTGAGTGTGTATTATGATGTTTTGATTTACGGGAAGTGTGGACCGGAATGAAGCACATGGATCCGTTTAATGTAGCTTACTCATAGTGCAAGTGTGAGCCCAATTGACTGGTCACAAATGTATGTGACAATAAGCGTGTTAAACCGTTACAACATGTATGGTGTTTTTATATTTTAAGTGTGTACGTTGTTATTATCAATTATGATTTATAATGAAGTATTTCAACGTGTATCCATGTGTTAGAGAGAATTCATTGAATCTTTGGTCTAATCCTCATTTTTTATAAAACCGAAAACCTTTTAAGGTAGGTACCATGTTGAAAGCTCTTGCAAGGACAAGGGAAAAAGGTGAACCACAACCACATGGCGTGAAAAATGTGAGAATTATCTGAATAGTTGGATAATTGCTTTAGATTTCAATTTAGATTATGAAATTAATTCCAGCATTCGTGTTTGTTTTCCGCTTCAAACCTTGAGTTGAGTCTAAGATTGTAGACTACCTCATGGCTAGTTTGTCGATTGAGCATTTGTGTTTATGTTATAGCTATTTTGAGTTTGTGGTTGTTACATTTGGAAAAACTTGACAATCTGCATAAAGATCCCCTTAGAAGTTTACTGAATAAACCACTTTCTATATTATTAAGTCACAACCAAATAGTCATGTATAACTGAACGAATAAGTTGTGAGTACCATCAAGTCCATTAAACTGCTAACTAATGGGACCACGACTTTTTTCCAATAAACCTTAATTTGCAACAAGTCTTCGTTCAACTAGAGATTTAGCTTAGGGGAAAAATAGAATTTGTATCTATATTAATTTTATGATAAATAATAATAGTAATAATAATTTTTATTATTATTTTACTTACCAAAAACATTGATTTGATATCTGAGTTTACTAAAAAATAAGAATAAAGAAAATTTATGGAAAATTTTGGATTTAACGTAAGGAGAGGAGTCAAGCTCAAGCCGTGAACAAGGCTTGGTTTGTTTGTAAGATAAGTGAAATTTGCAATATTTAGTTTATATATGGGTAAATTACATAAAATTGTAACGTACTTTAATTTGATTCTTATTTTGGATAACATATTTTCAAAACTTTCATTTTGGTACCTAAAATGTTAAGTTTTATTCATTTAAGTATCCGGGTAACCTGTTGAAGCATTAACCGGTTATCATGATAATGTGGTATCCAACTCAGTTTTATTTGATGATGTGGTTAGTGACATGATTTTTTTTAATCTAAAATTAGTCTTCAACCGGTTACCCGGGTACTTAAATGTTTAAAACTTTACATCTTAGGTGTCAAAATGAAAGTTTTGAAAGTACGTTACCCAAAATAGGAATCAAGTTAAAGTACGTTACTTTTTCATGCAATTTGCCCTTTATATACATAGAGTTGAGTTTTGGTGAGAAGGAGAGTTAAAGTGAGAAGGTAAGTAAGGATCTCCTCCTTCGATGTACATTAGGATAAGATGCACCAGATTAATCCCCGTATCAAAAATGGTTCACTAGTGGGTTTGAGATTAAAGATCCAGTCCTCTTCTTAATTCTTACACTTCTCACCATAACTTTCCTTCTCACGTGATCATTTGTCTATATATATATAGAGAGAGAGATAGAGAGAGAGAGAGACTTGCGATCATGTGAGATCAAATTGTTTTCATGAGAACGTGAGACCACCAAATAACACTGAACATCCACAATGTTTTTGCTGTGAAAGTTCAAATTTTTTTTACCTTCACAATTTTATGCTGTGAAGTTTCAAGTGTTATTATGTGACATCACCGGTCTCTAGAAAACATATTGATCATAGTTAAACCGAACCTTATATAATATAATATAATTATAAGCAATTATGTTTGATTAACGACTCTTTTAAATACCAAACCAAAGTTGAATCATCAAATTTCTCAAATCAAAACGAACTACATTACAAGAACCTATATTTCAATGCCATCTAATTCAATTTAAGATTGTAGATGTATTTTTTTAACATCTTTAATTATAATGTGATATCAACTAAGATAAATTTATAGTTGAATTCTTCGTTTTCTCTTAAACATTTATAAAATAAGAGACGTTGAATAATCTAAACAAAATAGTATTCAATATATTTATAGTAGAAGTCATGGATTTTGAAAAGTCTCCTTATTTTTCCAGATATCACTAAGAAAAAGCTTAGAAGAAATATCAGATATTATAAAACACGCTATAGACTTCCAAAATAATCCAATATGGCGACTTAGTGGTGGACCTAAATGTAATTGTTCCTAACTTAGACCCATCAATTTCACAATTAATTTGGTTGACTTTTGATACGGAAAACAGGTCAGAAGTGAACCACATTCTAGGCCTTGCCGGTCGTTAACTAGTCTTAGTCTAAGTCAGATATTTTTTCAACTTAAAAATGTTGTCCTTGGTAATATTTACTATTTCGCATCACGTGAAATGTTGTATAGGATCTCCAGGTATTTTTGATTAGTCAATATTGTAAAATGTTTGAGACTTTTGTTGTGTATACATGGTTGTAGATTGTTGATGTTATCCTATGATGTTTACAATACTGTTAGAACGTCATAACCTTAGGAGAGTAAGGTGCGACACCAACCTGTTTAAATTATTAAAGTGTAAGTGAGTTATATGTTGAAGTTGGAATACCGTATAAATATTGCTTATAAACATCATTTCTAAAAAGTAATAAACATTATCCTAATATATGTGTCCGTTTTCAAAAAAAAGTAAACTTCCAGTAATTATTATAGGTATAAATGTTTTTTAAAAAGTATAATAATTAAACATTCTTAACATTATATATCATTTTTATTATAAATATGTATTATTAGATAGAGGAAGTACATAATAGTCATCGCTTATTAGTTGGGCTCACTAGGACCATGCGTCTGAATATGCGACAATAAAATAATAATTTGTGTTTTATAGAATTATTAACGAAATTAAAACCTTTCTTTTTAAAAGGTGAAATAACATATCGATTTTTTAAATATAAATTTAGATGAAAAAGAAATGCCAACAAATAAAAGTACAAATCCTTTATTTTATTTTATAGTGTTCGAATCGTGAATCCATGATGTATATATCATATGTTAAAAAAGTTGGCAGTAACAACAGAAGAAAAACCATATTTTTGGATGTAGAGGTACAAGTACAAATAGTGGCTCCTCATTAAGTATTTATAGACATATACATTTATTACAAGATTTGGGATCATATGAGACCAATATTTTTTCGTGAGATCCATAAGACCAATTCTCAACC